AAGAGCGAAAGATGCCAGGTCTAGAACTCAAACTGCAGTTGGCCCTGTGGGAGTCCAGCCCCCTTAACCACCCCCCCCACCCCAAGTGATGAAATTCTTGCTTTAAACTTTCTAAATCAGCTTAACCATTCTCAGCCAGGGACAGTTTTACTCCCCTCCTCTGCCTCCCAGGGCAGTGTCTGGGGATATTTTCTTTTGTCACAGCTGAGGGGGGGGGTGGTGGCGGCTGCTCCTGGCGCCTAGTAAGTAGAGGCCAGGGAAACTGCCTGCAGTGTACAGGTTAGCCCCCCACAGTAAGGAATTACCTAGCTCAGAGTGCTGAGGTTTAGAGACTGGGCTAAGGAGCTAAGCTGTGCACATTAAAAACTGCAGAAGAGGGACCAGCAGTTAGCGTAATGGCTATGCTGCTGAATTCCCATGTAGTCGACCGCGGTTTGAGTCCAGACCCAGTGGCTTGAACTCACGCCGAGCGCATGTGCATGCATGCCCAAGATCCTGAGAGGAGAATGGAGGAGAAGGGATTGCAGTGTGGCCATCCCCCCTGCGGGGGTGATTTCTTGCTTTCTGTCTCTCTGTCTCTTTCTTTCTGGTTAGCGCACACACCCTATAGCAAAAACTTCTCCAAAAATGCAGAAGAACAGAGTATGTGTAATGAAAGATTAGAAAGTTGTTTTCCCAGATGCTCTTCTATTGATTAGTGCCTGTCTTTTGTAAAGTTTCAGTCAGTCTTTTGGCAAAATGACAAAAGTAAGGGTATTGTTTTTCCTACAGTCAGACTTACTCAATTTTGAACAATTATCCGTAATTCTGAGAATCTTTCCCATTTTGTTGGAGTTAATCTTTTTTTAAGATTTGCAAAAAAAAAAAAAAAAAGAAAAAACTCTTTTTGTAGAGTATATTCACTTTCCAGAGAGAGAGGGAGGGGAAGGGAGAAGCCCAAGAGGATAGCCATACTGCAATCTCTTCTCTATTCTCCTCTCAGGATTTTGGACACCCATGCACACACTCATGGCATGTTTTCAGGCCTCTGGGTCTGAGATTAGAACTGCTGAGTTGTCCATGTGGGATCCAGTACCTTACATCATGCCACCTGCTGGTGTGTGTTTGTGTGTGTGTGATTTGTTTATATAAGGTTTTTGCTATTGAGTGTGTGGATGCTTGCCAGAGAGAGAGACAGAGACACAGGGAGGGAAAGTGAGGAATTATCCCCCAGGGTAACGGCTACCCTGCATTCCCTTTTCCTCCATTCTCCTCTTGGAATTTGAAGCGTGCACGGACATCCAACCAGCATGTTTTCCAAGCCACCAGGTCCAGGACTCAAACCACAATTAGCCATGTGAAGCCTGGTGCCTTAATCACTACGCCACTTGCTGGCCCCAGTTAAAAATATTATAATGAAATTATGGTGCTAGTAGTGGTATGTTGCTAAAATTGGTGTCTTTACTTGGCAGAATTAAAGGTTAATGATTTGGTGTGGCAGTTAAGGGTGCTGGACTTGCGGTTCAAATACTGGACCAAGTGGCTTGCTTTCTCACTTTCCCTCTCTCTGTGTCCCTCTCTGGTCAAATTAAAATAAATAAATAAACTTAAATAAAATAATTTTAAAAATAAAGTTAATGGATTGCAGCTAGTAGGTGGCATGGTGGCTAAGGCACTGGGCTCCTACATAGATGACCATGTTCCCGGTCCCAGGCACATATGCATGTACGCCTGTCATGGGAGAATGGAGGAGAGGGGATTATGGCATGGCCGTCTCCTCTGAAGAGGTGATTTCTCACTTTCTCTCGCTCTCTTTCTCTCTCTCTCTTGAGCAAGCACGTGTGCCCTTAGCAGAAACCTCAAAACAAAAGTTAATGATTCTATGACTATGCTCAAATTTTATTTATATTTTTGATATTTTGCTAAGCTTTTAAGTTCTGAAGTAATGGGCACTCCTAAGCTAGACATTGTAACAAGACATTTCTGGTAAGCCCTGGGATAAACAGTACTGTTCTTTCTGGATATCATACATCAGCAAGGATGATGCGGTAATGATTCCAATATAGCAGCCAGCCTGCTCACCCTGTTTTGCTTTGTTTTTAAGATGTTTGTTTGTTTGTTTGTTTAGAAGAACCACTTTTCGGGGGCCAGCAGGTAGCGTGGTAGTTAAAAGCACTGGACTCCCACATGACCAACCATGGTTCGAGTCCTGGACCTGGCAGCTTTCTCTCTTTCTTTCTCTCTCTCCCATTCACTCGCTCACTTTCTCTTTCCTTCTCTGGTCACAGTAAAAGAAAGAAATAGGGACCAGCAGGTGGCTTGGTGGTTAAAGCGCTGGACACCCCCACATAACTGACCACAGGTCAAGTCTTGGACCTTGTGGCTTACTTTCTCACTTTCTCTCTCTCTGTCTCTCTCTGGTCAAATTAAAATAAATCAAATTTAAAAATAAATAAAGTTGAATAAAACAATTCATTTTATTAAAATAATTTTAAAATTATTATTTTTATTTGATGGGGGGGTGGCAGTGAGAAAGCAAGTCACCAGGTTTGGGACTCTAACCGTGGTCTGCCATGTGGGAGTCCTGTACCTTAACCACCACACCACCTGCTGGTCCCTCCAAAAGTATTTTTAAAAAGCCAAATATGCTAAGTGTCTTGGAAATTTCAGAGACTGAATTTGAGGGAGAATAATAGGGAGGAGTTTGTCAAGAAAAAGTCAGATTTACTATTGCTTTTCAATAATTTTTTTGGAATGGAGAGATGGGCAGGTTAGTATTTCAAATATGCTTCAAGTATGCTTACGTGCAGTTTTAGCCATGACTTGAATCACAGTAGATCAAGAATTTTGAGTATATAGATGAATGAATGAATGAATAAATTAAGAGTGGAGAGGAGTAAACTCTTGGTCTGATTAATAGTCAACTATTTTTACATAACAAATTTAAAATTTCAGTGGTATAAACAAGCTATTTTATTTTCTATTGTAGCTGACAGGTTTGCAGGTCAGCTGGGGTAATTTAGCTTCACATTTTATATTAGCCAAATGACTGCTTCAAATGTCTCTCAGCATTCTCTCAGGGTGGTGGCAGAAATACAAGGGAGTGTGCTGAATTGCTCAAGCTCGTGACCTGCATAGAGATCACTAGCTCAGTGACCAAAGTAAATTGCATGGCCATGTCCAAATGGGGACAGGGAGGCGTTCTCATGAAATAGCTGTGAAAAACAAGGCATACATCACTTAAACTGTTAGAAAGAAGATCAGACCTATGCCATTTGGGGACTTCGAAAGTTCCTAGAGGGCATGTTCTGTAGCACACATTTATCCATGTGCAAAATTCTATGGTTAAGCAATTGTATCCTTAGGAAGAGGTCTAAGAAGCCAGCTCCATACCCTTGACTGTCTCCTTATTACTCAAGGGCAAGGTAAAGGAGGAAACCCTGAGTCTTTGCCATGTGTCTTAACTAGCCCAAATATCTCTGCTAGCCCAACAATGGAATGCTATTTTATCACTGCTTCTCTAAATATCACTGCAAGAGGAAACAATAGGTATGACAATGACTATTAATATATTGATAATAAAAAAGAATTTGAAACACACACACAAAGTTACTTTTAAAAGTTCATAAAAATAGAATTAAAGTAGAAGTACATTTTGACACACAATATTTTTAAACCTATGTATTTTTATGATACGTGTGTTCTATGAACTTTTTGAAGACCCTTTGTATATATGAATACATATACACATATAATATATATGTACAAAAATGCATTGTATACAAAGTCAGTGGTATATACATGCATTAGTTCTTTGTTCTTACTCTTTATGACAGAGAGAATATGAGTGCATATGAGGGAGAGGGAAAGGAGAGAGAAGAAACTTTGACAAGGTCCATTACACTGCAATCCCCCTTTCTCTAGCCTTCCAATTCCTCAGGATCCTGAAAGTCTGAATACATGCCTAGTGTGTGTTTTGTTTTGTTTTGCTTTGTTTAAAAAACAACAACAACACCACCAGATGACACAATGGTTATGTCACTGGACTTCCACATAGTTGACCACAGTTTGAATCCTGGACCCAGTGGCTTGAAACTCATGCCAGGCACATATGCACACATGCCACACAGATCCTGAGAGGAGAATGGAGGAGAAGGGCTTGTGGCATGGCCATCCCCTCTGGGGGGTTATTTCTCACTTTCTGTTTCTCTGTCTCTCTCTCTCCAGCAAGCACACATGCCCTATCACAAAAATCAT